AGATAGCCCTCGTGTAGCTTTGCGCGAAATTTAAAAAACAAACAAACCATTAGTAGCCTTAATAAGGTTCGTTAAATCCTGAAATTTAGGCTGACTGAATCAATTTCCACTTTAATACATTAATCTTACCCATTAAATCGTCACAATTACAGCTACCAAGACTTAAACACTGAAATCTGAAAGAAAAGTTGCATAATACTGCTATGCTGTTGAAGTATTTGTAATGTTTAAATGACGGATGACATTTCAGATAATTTAAATCTAAGGGTTCATGGTTCGTAAACCCATTGCCGTAGAAACGCGCTCCGCACATTAGAGAAGAGTAACGGACTAGTCTCACAATTCAATTAAACAAGAGCAGCCCAAGAACTATCGGTGAGTGATGTTGTCTATCTGCCTTCTTTCCAGTCTATCAGTTCAGAATCAGTACAGAATTGTGTATCTTCGCGCGAAATTACAAAACCAATAAACCGTTTTATAACAAAAATACTCGCCGCTTATTGTAATTGGATTAAACTTGGTTGCTTCATTTTATCCTCCAGTTCTGAAAGTGGAAATACTGACAGAGATAGAATGAATTTTTTTTATATATAAAAGAGAAACTGAGTAATGAGTACACGAACAAGAAATATATATATATGTAGTCGATATCTTCCAGTCCCTTAAGTATATTCTATTATTTTAATTTCTTTTGAAGTATTAGCATTTCCTTACGGGTTCCCCTTCAGGATATTAAATCGTTTCCAACACAAACGAATCTCCTCGAGCGAAAAACGTTAGCTCGACATTAATAGTTAATATATTTTATAGGATCGCATGCAGTGTTTAATGGCTTATTTTATCGTATCATTGCCAATTTACCATTTTTTTTTACTAAATGAAATAAATGTTAGCAAGTACCTATAGCGTGTACAGAGTAGTATAAAAGTTACTATTCAGTTGGTATTATACGTTTGGTACCAAAAGAAATATTACGAAGCAAACTGAAACCAATATAATAATCGTTTGTTTCAGAGTAAATATTTATAAATTAAACTG